GACATGAGTTTGAGCAAGCTCAGGAAGATACTGAAGGACTGGGAAGCCTGGCATGCTGCACTTGATGGGGTCACAAAAGGTCAGACATGACTGAGCTACTGAATGACAAAAGTTTGTCATTGCTTTTCTTCCAAGGAGCAAGTGTCTTTTAATTTCATTGCTGTTGTCACCATCCACAGTGATTTTGGAGCCCAAGAAAATAAAATGGCATTATTCCATCACACACACACACACACACACACACACACCACATCTTGTTATGTTGTTATCCATTCATCATCTGTCAACGGACATTTAGGTTGTTTCCATATTTTGGCTACTGTGAATAGTGCTGCTATGTCCAGATACATGTCCAGGAGTGGGATTGCTGGCTCCTATGGCAACTCTAGTTTTTTGAGGAGCCTCCTTACTGTTTTCTATAGTGGCTGCACCAATTTACATTCTCACCAACAGAGTAAGAGGATTCCCTTTTCTTCAAGTCTCTACAGGATTTGTTATTTGTTGCCTTTTTAATGATGCCCATTCTGACCAGTGTGAGGTGGTACCTCATTGTAGGTGGTTTTTTTTTTTAAAGATCTATGTATTTATTTATCTTATTATTTGACTGTGGTGGGTCTTTGTTGTTGCATGTGGGCTTTCTTTAGTTGTGGTGAGTGGGGACTACTCTTGTGTTAGTGTGAGGACATATTGCAGTGGCTCTCTTGTTACAGAGCACAGGCTCTGTGCAGTCTGCATGTGGGTTTCAGTCTTTGTGGTTCTTGGGCTCTAGAGAGCAGGCTCAGTAGTCGTGGTGCATGGGCTCAGTTGCTCCACAGCATGTGGGATCTTCCTGGACCAAGGACTGAACCTAGTGTCCCTTTGCACTGCAAGGCAGATTCTTAACTGCTGAACCATGAGGGAAGCCACTCATTGTATTTTTTACTTGCACGTTTCTCTAATAATTAGCCATGTTGAACATATCTTTCTGTGCCTGCCTGTCGGCCATCTGTGTGTCTTCTTTGGAGAAATGTCTCTTTAGTCTTCTGCCCATTTTTGCTTGGGTTGTCTTTTTGTCACTGAGTTGTATGAGCCATTTATATATTTTGGAAATTAAGCCCTTCTCAGTCTCTTCATTCTCAAATGCTTTCCTCCCAGTCTATAGGTTGTCTTTTTATTTTATGGTTTCCTTTGCTGTACAAAAGTTTGCAAGTTTGATTAGGTCCCTTTAAAAAATTTTTTTGTTTTTATTTCTATTGCCTTGGGAGACTGACCTAAGAAAACATTGGTACACTTTATGTCAGAGAATGTTTGCCTATGTTCTCTTCTAGGAGTTTTATGGTGTTAGATCTTTAAGCCTTTTGACTTAAAGGCTTTTGACTCTCTAAAATTTTAAATACAAAACATACTATAAACTGCTGGGACTGGTCCAACAAATGGCGAGGGCTGTGCCTTTGTAGAACAAGGCTTCACTCTACAGGAAAACTTTGAACTCAGAAATTCCAGGGCTGCATGATTTGTTTGTTTCATGATCTCCTAGGGCAGGGAGTCAGGGTAACTCTGGGAAGCCCAAGTGGCCAGTCAGGTGATGATTGTAGTTTCCCTGTAAGTACCCCAAAGCAAGTCAGAAAGCTTCTCTTTAGGCTCTATGCAAGAGGAAATATTTAACTAGTTATAATAATTTCCCCTCACCCCAAGTCCAATTTGTTAGTTTAGATTTTGGTTTTAAGAGCCTTTGAAGTCTCCCTCAAAGCTTAGTCATTTAAAAATTTGTCCATGGTCCTCTTCTTGGTGTGTGTGTGTGTCACTTGAATTACTTTTCTTATTTAATGACATGTCTCTCCTATCTTTGACTTTTTATAAAAATGGATCTTAAAAAAAAATCTGTTTATTTTTATTTTTGACTGTGTTGGGTCTTAGGTGCAGCATGGGTGATCTTTGTTTCGGTGCTCAGGCTGAGTTGCCCTGCGGCATGTGGGATCTTGGTTCCCTCACCCACTGGGGACCAAACCCCTGTCTCCTGCCTTGAGAGGCAAATTTTAATCACTGGACCACCAGGGATCTTTACTTTTATTTATTTATTTATTTATTTGACCTTTACTTTTAGAGTACAAATTTTCAACAATGTCATTTCATCTGCATTTTCAGATGAAAAATAGTAACTTATTCTATTTTGTGACTAAAATTTGGTAAAGTTTATTGTTTTCAAGTTTTATATGGTTTAACAATTGCTAGCTACACTAGTATTTATTGTTCACTTGTACAAAGAGCTTGCATGAGAAACTGTAGCTGTGTATTCAACAGTCATGCTTTGAACATGAATAAATTAACAAAATATTTTTGAGTGCCTACAGTTTCAGTGACCAGTCATATTTTCAGAACTCTAAATCAGGTGAACCCATCAAGGGCTAGGGCTGTGTTGTCAAGTGTATATTACCAGCTTCAAATACACAGGTATTAGGACTCCACAGATGCTTGCTGAAACAGCATTTTAGTTTATTTTTTGGCTGCACTGGGCAGTTTGTGGGATCTTAGCGCCTGAACCAGGGATGAAACCTGGGCCCTTGGCAGTGAAAGCATGGACTCTTAACCACTGGACCACTGGGGAATTCCCACAGCATTTTATTTTTTATTTATTTATTTTTTCCCCCACCCCCCACCCTCCCACAGCATTTTAAATATGAACTATCTTTGGAAATTCTCAGTTGGGTAAATTCTCTCTGTACTTCTTCAATGTTAATATTGCTAGATTTATATTCTATAATATTTGGAACATACTTTTATACTAAAAAATGTAATTATTTAAAATTAAAATTTAACTGAGTGTCTGTTTTTAAAAAACCTGACAACCTATCAATTTGCCTCTGTATATACATTGAGTCTCTGACATGTGTCAGGAACTAGGCTAGGCAGTATCACTAGACTAGACAGTAGTGAAAGAAATAGACCCAGTGCAGCCACCCTCCTGGATTTGATAGTTTAGCAGGTAAGACAGACATTGAATACATCATCATGTAGTTAATTAAGTACTGAAATAGTATAACAGAGGACCTTATTAAGTCAGGGTTTAGAGAAAGTTTACATCTCTAGTCCAGATCAAGAGACATTTACTTTGAGAACTATACAAGAGGGCCTCAGTGAGATGAGGCGGAATGGAGAAGGGGAAAGCCTTCCTGCAGTTAAAAAGGCCTGTTTAAGGACCTTGGGAGAGGAAGGAGTGAAGGAATTGTCTGCAGGTGGAAGGTCAGTGTGGCTGGGGTTTGGCAAGGGGAGAAGAGCTAGATTTAGAGAGGAATTTTAGGGCCAGTAAAAGATTTTCCTACTAAGCCCAGGTACAATGCTAGGTAGTGGGGAATTTCGAAATGAGGGGCAATTACTGCCTCAAGAAACTCTGTGTAGTGACTGAAAGGAATGAGGGTAAGAGGAATAGACAAGAAGTAAAATTAAATTCTACTTTCAAAGAGTATGGTTATACATATCTTTGTCGAAATAAGCATGTCACAAATAGAGATTTGTTCTTATGTCTGTTCATCTGAACTGTAGTTACCAGCAGGAATTGTTTTGGAGGATGTTTGCATATCATTTTTGAAATATGGGGAAAAGTCTGAGACTAAAAAGCCAGTGGAAATCCACTGCTAAATATCCTTACAGCAAATTAGGTAAAATCCGACTTTTCAGCAGTTATTCTCAAGGATGTACTTGAAAAAAAAAGAAAGAAAAAAAAGAGTAACCTTAACTATTTTAAGAACTTCCACCCAGTGCTAGTAGAATTGTATTTTAGCCTGGCTCTTGTTCCAATGGGCAGGAACTTCTAACTTATCGGCATTACTCTAGATTTCTCTTGGTGAAAATTTACTGATACAAGAGACAGGACCACACATTCTTTGTGATTTGTAGTGTAGAGTGTGAGCTAACCTGCTTGCTTTTACGGACTACAAAAAAAAATTACAATCCATTGTGAACACCTTTGGGATCCTAAATATAATTAGCAGTATCTGATGGCTGCTGAATATTCATTGGAAGGGCTGATGCTGAAGCGCCAATATTTTGGCCACCTGATTGACGCGAAGAGTCCACTCAGTGAAAAAGATCCTGATGCTAGGAAGGATTGAGGGCAGGAGGAGAAGGGGAGGACAGAGGATGAGATGGTTGGATGGCATCACCGACTGGAGGGACATGAGTTTGAGCAAGCTCTGGGAGTTGGTGATGGACAGGGAAGCCTGGTCTGCTGCAGTTCATGGGGTCTTAGAGTCGGACACGACTGAGCGACTCACCTGAACTGATGACTGCTGCAAACAAGTTTTTCTTAACTCAAAATCTTCCACGTCCTCAGAAATATTGAAATTGCTCAAGAGAAATATTTCTGAAATTAAAAAGGAAATTAGGTAATGGAAATTAAGTGTACTGGGCACCTTGGGACGTCGTGTTACAAAGACCCACCGTCTAGTATCTCAATAAAGGGAATGTTTTAATAAAATATTCCTAACAACAATATTCTTCCAAAAGCTAGTATTTCAGTAAAGACAGCTGGGGTTTTACTTTGCAAACTGCTTAAAAGCCAAACCGAAAGTACCAACTTCCGCAGAGGTGTTGAACACTACCACTACACAAGTTCCACGCCTAGCTCCGGGAAGTCGGAGGCAAACCAGAGAGCAGAGAGGGTGGGGATAATCTCGCGAGAAGCAACGTATAAATTATTCGCGATATTTGGTGCCCAGCCCCTTTCCTCTCTCTCTCTCTCGCTCTCGCTCTCGCTCTCGCTCTCGCTCTCTCGCTCGCTCTCTCTCTCTCTCGCAGGATCACGGTTAATCTCGCGATCTTTTGGAAGTTCCGTTGGGGAAGATGGCGGCGGCCGCGAGCACCCTTCTCTTCTTGCCGCCGGGGACTTCAGACTGAGTCTTCCCTGGAAGAGTGGGACTGCAGGTGCCCTGCGTCCCGGGAGCCCGAACCAACTTGGTTCCTCCATTACTGGTGGGGAAGGGCATATCCTCTTGTGTAGGACTTAGGCCCTCCCCGCCGTCAGGATGAAGGCTCAGGGGGAAACCGAGGGTGAGTGACTGAGGGGGAAAGCAGGGGGCGGGACACAGCTGGGGGAGCCAATGCCTCCGCGGGGGCCACTCTCCCGAGGGCTCAGGATCTAGGAGGCGGGATGTGTCTGAGTTTCAGATTCTGACTGCCTTCCTTGGTGATGGAGAGCTTCGACTTTGGGGAGATGGGGGCTCCCAACTTCTGTGAAGGTTTCCTATGTGGCAAGGGGCAACATTTGGGCCTCGGGGCATTTTTTAGCCTAAAGAGATGGGAGACCAGGCAAGTGAATGTAAAACTTGCTCCTTCCAAAAGAGAAATCTGAATGATGACATAAAGCAGTAATACAACGCTGTATAGTATATCAAAGTACTGTAAGATGTTTTGGCGTGAAGGAAATGATTAGGTCCTTATGGTATTAAAAGCCAGTAGTTTTAAAAAATGTCACAGTGTTCATATCTTGTGGTACTGTATATTTTTTAAATGCTTTTAATTTCAGATTTTCAATATCTGAACTAAGAACTGCTGAGAAACAGTTTTCTGTGTAACTTTATATTCTCTAAAGTTCAACATTTCAGCTTAAATGCTTCCTTAGCACTTTGGACATAGTTCTATTGATAGACGATTATTTTCTTGTCTTCTCCAATGTACTCTGAGCTTTGTAGAGCAGGATCTTGCCTTACTCATCATTATATAGTCCTGGGCACATTATGTTGTGTTGTTCTGTTAGTCACTCAGTCGTGTCCGACTCTGTGACCCCACGGACTGCAGCCCACCAGGCTCCTTCGCCTGTGGAATTCTCCAGGCAAGAACACTGGAGTGGGTTGCCGTTTCCTTCTCCCGGCACATGATAGTTGCTTAAAAAAACGTTTCATTGAAGCATTTTTGTAAAGATATTTATCATCGGCCTTCTCAAGGGAGAGAAGGGAGGTGTGTTTGAAGGAGAAGAAGAAAAAAGGGTGCAGAGGAATGACAAGTGTAAGTGGAATCTTACTAAGACAGGAATTTTGTCTAGTTTGCTCACTGCTGTATCTCCGAGATATAAAATAGTGCCTGAGTGAATGTCTTAAATTTGGGAATTGCCAAACATTTTTCCAGAATTATAAACTGGATGAAACAGTCCCCAAAACAGTTTTCCAGAAGATGAAGGCAATGGAGGGAGGAGTTGAATCTCAATTTGAAGATGTCACTACAACTTTGATTGCTGACATTCTATTCATCTTTCAAGACATCTTTTCTGTAACATCCCTAAACTAAGTACACACTTTTCCTCCTTTGAATTTTGATAGTAATGTGTGTCTGTTTTTAAGAGCATATCTCATTTTGCTTTGTGTGATGGTTATTTTCACATTAACTTATCCACACCCCCTCACAGATGTCATCTCAGGCATATTGTATTTTTGCCCTGCTGGCCTCCAGCACAGTCCTTGCTCATGTTAAGCAGTTAAAAGAATTACAGGGGTGTTGGAGGTTGTAGGAGGTTCCTTCAAACACTATCTGGGATCCATTCTTTTCTATCTTTCTCTTACCTTTGCCTGAAACTCATCCTTTAGTCACTTGACATCTTCCTTGTTCATATCGTTTGAATTCGAACAGGAAATATCTGAATGGCAAATGAAGCTTGTTTTCTTGATAATACTTACAAATTGATCTCTTAAAATTATGTGAAAAAATTAAGAAAGTCTGTGTTTTCACATTGAAAACCAACCGTAGTAAAGAAAGTGAAATCGCTCAGTCTTGTCTGACTCTTTGCGACCCCGTAGACTGTATGTAGCCTACCAGGCTCCTCTGTCCATGGGATTCTCCAGGCAAGAATACTGGAGTGGGTTGCCATTTCCTTCTCCAGGGGATCTTCCCGACCCAGGGATCGAACCCGGGTCTCCTGCATTGCAGGCAGAGGCTTTAACCTCTGAGCCACCAGGGAAGCCCAACCATAATAAGGCCATGTTCAAATGTATGCTCTGCATATGTCATGCAAGGGATTTCATGCATATCATGAAATTATTTTGTCACTAAATGGTAGTCTTGATCCTCAGGACTGGAGATGGTTCTTTTTTTGCTTCTCATTAAGTCTGAAGAGAAAGCAGTCCCCTTCTATAGTGTTTGTTAGATTAGACCCATAATTTCTGTCTACTTGTTATTAGAAATGAATTCTTTTTTGAAATAAATTATATTGGAAAAGATTTTAACTGAGTTCGTTCCAGGATGAAGTTTGGGAGTTTTGTTTGCAAGAAAAACTGTGGAAGGTCTTGAAAGAAGAGTTGCTAATGATGTTTTCTGATTTATATCTTAGAGTCGGAAAAGCTGAGTAAGATGAGTTCTCTCTTGGAACGGCTCCATGCAAAATTTAACCAAAATAGACCTTGGAGTGAAACCATTAAGCTTGTGCGTCAAGTCATGGTGAGGATTATGGTGAAGTAGATAAAGTGTTGTGCTTAGAAAATTATTTGATAAGCTAAGTTACCTGTGTAGACTTTTTCTAGCTAGTTATTATGGTGTGTCTTCAGTTTTATTTCTTGTAACATCATACGTACATGATGGCTTTCAACTTTTTAAGAGTCTACCTAAGAACAAGATATGTTAATAGAATTGTGTTAATTATGAGTTATAGTAGGCTGGGATATTTTAGGCAAAAGTTGTAAGAAACACACTTATAAAACATAATAAGTTTCCTAGTGGCCTAGTGTTTAGGATTCCCAGCTTTCATTACTGTAAACCTGGGTTCAGCCCCTGGTTGAGGGACTAAGATCCCACAAGTCCCACAGTGCTGCCAAAAAAAAAAGATACACGTGATAGCCTGATATAGAAACATTTACTTTTTACTTCCTATCAAGCTCCTTGATTCTAATGTGTTAATACTTTCATTGTATCTATACTGGTAGTAGGGTTTACAAGCATTTTTAATTAACATCACTTGTTTACTCTGTGACTTTCTCTACAGTACTTTCTCCTTCCTGAGGCATTCACCAGTATGAGGAGCCCTTAGTTAAGTGGAATACAGGGAGTGGGGTGAGTGTATAGCACAGCACTAGTAAGAGAACTGAATTTGCTGTCAAAAAAACCTTTATTTTAATCTTGACTCCACTACTACCTCTGTAACCTTGGACAAATTACTTGTTTTTTCCCACCCTCAATTTCCTCATCTAGAAGGTAGAGACACCAATTTGAGTAAGATGAGCAACACTAGTTTGCTTTTTCACACAGTTTTGCTGTAAAGATCAAGTGAGATAATGGACACCAAATGTCATGTTGCTTAGAGATTTCTGTAACTAAGTTCTACAGATATCTTCTGGCTCAGGATTGTATACATAAAAAAGATTTGGAAAAAAAAAAAAAGATTTGTAGTTTTTTTTTTTAAGTCTTAATGAAAATTTTTCCAGTCTGGGTACTCAGAGGTTGTCATTTTTATACTAGAAGGCAGCCATATTCTAGTTTGAGATACCACCTATAAATGATATTGTCATTAGAGAAACAGCATGAGCTAGAGGACTCCAGGTGGCTACTAAGACCCTCTCTTGGGTTACTAGTTCTTGGTTTGGTCACCATAGCTTCCATTGTCTACTTGTCACTTTTGCAGATTCAGAAACCTACTTTTATTGGTATATAAAAGATTTTTAAGAATTTTCAACAACTGTGTGTGTGCATGCTAAGTCTCTTCAGTCATGTCCAACTCTTTACAACCCTGTGGATTATAGTGTGCCAAGCTTCTCTGTCCATGGGATTCTCCAGGCAAGAATACTGGAGTGGGTTGCCATGCCCCCCTCCAGGGGATCTTCTAAACCCAGGGATTGAACCCATGTGTCCTGCAGCTCCTGCACTGCTGGCAGATTCTTTACTGCTGATCCATTGGGGAAGCCCTTTTAAAACTGACATACTAACAAAATCTCAGTAGATTAACATGAAAGTCAGAATGCCAGTTTATTAATGAGGGTTTGTTTTTCCAGCTACCAAAATACTGGTATCCATTGTCTAGAGCAATGGACACAGTCCTTGTCTGTTTAAGGTATAAACGAATCCAGATGATTAATTAAGCAGATGTTTGGGAGCATGGAATTAGAGATAAGAGAGATGGATTTAGGGCGTGGAAAAGCCTCAAAACCTATCCTTGTATCATAAAACTGCTCATACTTCTGGGGACTAGAATGTTGTACAGAGAGAAACTGCTTCCTTGGATAGGTTTAGAAAAATTATGCTAAATTTCTGCTGTTTGGATTTTTGGACTATGTATCTTGTTTCCTAGAGTGAGTCTATTGGGTGGGCCAAAAATTTCATTCCGGTTTTTCCGTAACATCTTATGGAAAAATCCAAATGAACTTTTTAGCTGGCCCAGTAGTTTGACTAAGGTTTGGTTGTATTTCTTAGATTACATGCATATCACCTTATTAGGTTTGGGAATTGTCAAATTTGAGCCACCCCATCCTGAGTCTTAGGATGTAGTCACTTCTGCAGGAGACTGATTTTATTTATTACATTTTGATTCTTCTTTTTTTTTTTTTCATTTATTTTTATTAGTTGGAGGCTAATTACTTTACAATATTGTAGTGGTTTTTGCCATACATTGACATGAATCAGCCATGGATTTACATGTGTTCCCCATCCCGATCCCCCCTCCTGCCTCCCCATTTTGATTCTATTTTTTTCCCTGAAAATTATTTTAGATCTGGAAATACCTTTGTTGTAGACTGTTTTTTTTTTTTTTTTTTGATTGCGCTGTGTCATCTGGGATCTTAGTCCCACAACCAGGGATTGAACCCACATCCCCTGCTTTGGAAGCATAAAGTCTTAACCACTGGACCACCAGGGAAGTCCTAGATGTGGAAATACCTTTTTCTCCTTTCATGGATATGGATATGGTGTATCCATGTATTCAGTAGATTAACCTTTCCTCTTTTGGATAGATGGACAAAATAACAATTAAAAATTAATAGGTTAACTAGAATATATAAGAAATACAGAGTATATAGACTACTTCATAATCTGTAGACTATGCTGAAATATTATTTCTAGAATAATATATGTGTTTACCAAAAACTATTGGCTCGGTTAATTTTTACCTCAAATGTTTTCCTATTTTAATACAGGAGAAGAGGGTTGTAATGAGTTCTGGAGGGCACCAACATTTGGTCAGCTGTTTGGAGACATTGCAGAAAGCTCTCAAAGGTTTGTAAACATTGTTGAAATATGCTAACTTCTTAAAAACCCTCCAGTTTAGGAAAGACTTTTATACGTATACTAGAAATGTGAATTGAGATAGGTGGGTATCACTCTTGATTTCATTATGAAGTTGAGATAAACTTTGACCTGAACTTTTGAAACATTTATTTTTTATTCTATTTTGAAGGCTGGTAGAAACTCAAAAAATAATTGATGAAGGGTAACCAAGATAGCATATAGGAGGGGATAATTTTTTTCCTTCACATATTCTCTCCTAATTAACTCAATAAGAAGATGGACTTTTTGTTTTAAGTATTTATTAAGAATGTTTTCATAAGAACATGAAAAAAGGAAAGAAAAAAATGTTTTCAGGAAAGCAAACATGAAATTTAAGTCATGAGCTTGATTATTCAAGCTTATAATTACTACTTCTATTTTTGAAGGAAAATGAAAGTAAAAACAAACAGGTTTTACACTGATTATCACAAATAAGCCGGGATTGAATCCATACCCACTTCAGTGGAAGTGTGGAGTCTTAACCATTAGATGACCAGCAAGTCACTAAGTATGTCTTCTTTAAAGATAACTTGTCCAAATGAGTAATAGAAAGGAGAAAGTTTCAATTTTTTTCAAATAGATCTTTTTTTTTTTTTTTTTTGACCCTTATTGCTTAGGCTGCAGCTAAGCCTTATCAATGACCTTTGTGCAAATTATAAGCATTTGAACTATAGATGAGCTTTGTGCAGATTACAAGTATTTGGACTATTGAATGTGTTTATGGCTTTGGAAGGACAGATATACTCCTCAGGATGTTTCTGTTTTTGAAGAATACTATTTAAGTTATTTGGAGCATGCTTTGTGATTTCCTTTTTTTCACCCTTTTGTAGTAACATCTTTACCAGCAATGACTGATCGTTTGGAGTCTATAGCAAGACAGAATGGGTAAGTAGTATATCTGTAGGCAGAAATATTAAACTTAGTGTTGACTTTGGGTGGCTTTATTTATGTGTCTTCTATTAATTTCTGTTTTGATTTGTTCCTGCTAGACTGGGCTCTCATCTCAGTGCCAGTGGCACTGAATGTTACATCACGTCAGATATGTTCTATGTGGAAGTGCAGTTAGATCCTGCAGGACAGCTTTGTGATGTAAAAGTGGCTCACCATGGGGAGAATCCTGTGGTATGTGTTGATATTTCACTGGAATCTGTGGGGTTTACTTAGGGACATTAATTTTTAAAGAAATTGTTGGGGTTTGAAATAGCTTGGGTTTAGGTTTTTTCACGAGCCACTGTAGAGATGATGTGATGGGCTACAACATCAGTAGCTGTAGAGTGGAATTTAGAATAATCTGGGTCCATCTCTGACATCATCCAAAGGCTTTGACAAGAAGAAACACCAGAGGAACCTTTTCCAATTCATATCAACAAACATGAGCCGCAGTTGAACAATAGGTGCTGGGGATACAAATAATTTAAATTCCTATCCTCAAATAACTTATAATCAAGAAGGACAGATAATCTTGTATATAGCTAATGTCTCTGAAAAACCCTGTAATAGAGAGGAATGTAAAAAGGTGTATAATTAGACAGTTGGATATGAATTCCAAGGATGGCTTTAAAGAGAGGTCCTAATGTTTTAAACAAGCAACTGAAAGTTGACTCCTTTATAAACTATTTCATATATTTGATTTTTAATTTCGTGACCCAACCCCATGGTTTACCAAGTAGGAAGAAGATGTTTTTGATATCTTAATATAAGGACCTTCTATAGTTTTAATGTTTTTGTTATAAAGCATGTGTTATTAATAAAAAAGAAAAAAACTTTTGATGTCTTCAAGCATCTTAAAGTAGTTTAGAGTTTTAACATAATTTCTTTAATTTCAGAGCTGTCCAGAGCTTGTACAGCAGCTAAGGTGAGCAGCTGACATTTACATTCCCTTTTTTTGGCAGACAGTGCTGTTCTTTATAGTTAACATTTTGAGAATGGTCAGAAGTTACTTTTCTAAGGAATAACTTTATTTTCTTGGGTTTTTCAGAGTCTGCACTTGCTCACTTTCAGAATTGACTTAGCTTTTTTTTTTTTTAATACTCGATTCCATCTATCCTAGGGTTTCCCAGCCTTGACAGTATTGCCATTTTGGGTTGGGAGATTCTTTGCTCTAGGGGGTTGCCCAGTTCATTCTTGGATGTTAAACACCATCCCCGGTTTCTCCCAGCTAGTTGGGATCTATGATAACCTCCTGATCTGTGATAATCAAAAATATCTCCAGATATTGTCAGACGTACTCTGGAGGACAAAATCATTCCTGGTTGAAAACTACTGAGTTAACCTTAGGAATTCTCTGTGAAATAAAAATAAATAGAACCTAATTATTGAATTAGAGAAAGCTTGAGAAAATTGAGTCTGTACTATGGAAAGAACTTTTTTTCACTTTGAGAAAAATTGTCTTATTTTTAATGTTTATGGGTCCCAAATCATAGTAAAGTGCTAGGCTTGAAGACAGTCTCTTTAGTAATTGATGTTTTTTGTCATTGGCTTATCTTTTCTCCTTTAATTGAGTGGAGATTTCCATGCTTAAATTTAAACCCAGAATTAACTCTCTTGGAATGTGAGAAAGTTGTTAAATCAATTTTATGTTTTAAATATAGTGAAGTTATCAGCACACAGAGGAGTCTTAAGGGTTTAACATTGAGAAATAAGTTTTACACTCAGCCTTCCAGTGATCACTTTAATGTCCTTACAGCCAAATACACCAGATTTGAATGAACTTTGAAAAATTGCAATTCAACATAAAAAAATAACCTTTCATGATTTAATTTACTCAGTAAGTCTAGCAAAGATGTATTATCAGAATATTCAGAATCAGGAAACCAATATTTTTGGTTCTAATGTAGAATAGGAGACTGTACCAGTTTATGAACTGATGGTGTTCTAAAGTTAATTTGTAAGCATGTTTGGAAGTGGGAACCTTAGAAAGAATATTAGTCTTTACCAGGCATTTTTAATCACTCTGTATAGATGATGATTTTAAGGTAAGGAATATATTTTGCTGTTGCTCTTGTTTCTTTTTAGTGTCTTCATGGCACTTTGGGCCATGTTCAATAAATGCCTGATCAAGTATCTGACATGTCAGAGCAGTACAGTTTTCAACAGACATTTTTTTTTTTAAGTTTGAAAAAGGATATAGAGACTTAGAATTGTTGAGTTGTGTTGGATTCCTGCTCATAAAAGCTTATTTGACTAAGAATCCATCTCTGAATGTTAGGTTTTAGGATGCCAGGATTCCTGGTAGTAGGTTATCTTTCCTGGGGTAAATCTTGTCATAGGAACATTTTAAAATACATCGTTTGCCTCCACGCTACCTATTCTGCCTTTGCTTAGGTCTCCCATCTCTCTCCCACTGTTCATTTCCTTTCTCTGCTCATGTATACATGAAAGTGTCCTATCTTAATTTATTTATTTCCTTTTTCTCTCTAAAAGATCTAAAAGATGACATCCAGTCATCTCAGTTACAAATTAAGAGGAGATGTGATTTATTTAAACTAAGTCTCATCACTTAAGAACAAAACTATATGAGTTAACAGGTCTTTTTGACTATCTTTTATACTGTTTATTAGCACCTTCTCCCGAAAAATGGGGCAGAGAAAGGAAAACATTGTATTTTCTTTTGCAACTTTTGATTGATTCTAGAAAATTCAGGGGGGGGGGAATTAAAGCAAATTATTAAGATTAGTTTTATATAGGCTTGAGTTTGGGGACTTTGCTGATAAGATTGAGTAGTAATTGTATGTTTTATTCTCTTCCCTCTCTCCTCTTCCCTGAAAATCTTACAGGGAAAAAAATTTTGATGAATTTTCTAAGCACCTTAAGGGTCTTGTTAATCTTTATAACCTTCCAGGGGACAAGTAAGTATTTTTTGCTGTTGTTTGAAAAATTAGTATAAATCTATAAATTATTTTATACTAAGAAATTTGCCAAGTCTTCTGCCCTAGCTCATTTGTGATTTCTGTTCATACCGACAGTCTATAACTCAGTTTCTAACTTAATGTCTTTTAAAGGTATTTTAAATAAACAGTATCTGCATTATTGATGATAGTGCTAGAAGGTAGATTATAAGCCTTGAGGTATCTTCAACATATTGATTTCTAGGTCAAAAGAAATTGTCATGGAACTGGTTGTCATTTTTAACCTACCTGGGATTGTGCTTACTTGCTTGGTCTTTTAAGTTGAGATAAAAATTAGCTTTGGTAGATCACTAATGATTTTTTTTTTAATGTTTTGTTTTTTTAAATAGATATCTAAGTGCCTCCAAGGTAGACTTGCTCTCTAGGCTTTCAATATTTGTGTATATTTGTTAACTAATTCTTGTTCTGTTTACTTTCTAGCAAACTGAAGACTAAAATGTACTTGGCTCTCCAGTCCTTAGAACAGGATCTATCTAAAATGGCAGTTATGTATTGGTAAGACTGGCTAAAGTGTCAGTTCTCTTTGACCTTGTTCTTAAAGATTTTTTGTCTATGGGTTACTAGGTTTCTGTTATTAAAAAATATGTATTATAGATGTATGTTACTATGCATCTGTATTTTACCTGTACTGTACATCTTGTCCATATCCTTTCACTTCCCAAATGATTGCATTCCATTTTCTGAATATCAGTATCTCTAAGTTGTTGGTTGGTATTCCATAGGTTTTATGAGAAGACTTGTGAAACCTGGACTCCCTTCTGATAAATAATAGTATAGTTGTAATTTTTGTTCACCATATTACACACTGGTGTATTCTTAGAAATAATCCCTTCACCTTGAGGGTGAAATATGACTGTTAAATGCCCAAGATAGAGTTATTAGGATAGAATTAAAAGATGTGTAAGAGCTGAACTCATTATCACATTGTATACTAATATCTTCAGGGCTTAAATGTAAATAAACATAGATCATTTGTCTTGCAGGAAAGCAACCAATGCTGGTCCCTTGGATAAGATTCTTCATGGAAGTGTTGGCTATCTCACTCCAAGAAGCGGGGGTATGTGATGCTATTTTGCTTGTTTAGAAAAAAACCTAATTTTTAGTTGAAAGATTACTACTTAAAAATTTCATCTTGGTTTTATAAGCAGAAGGTGAAATTCACTAGTCATTTGTGTGATGGTTTTCTTTTTGTTTAATTGAAATGTAGTTGATTTTCAATGTTGTGTTAGTTTCTGGTATATGGTAAACTGATTCAGTTATACATACTTTTATTCCTTTTCCTATTCTTTTTCATAATAGTTTATTACAAGATACTGAACATAGTTCCCTGTGCTATACAGTAGGACACTGTTATATAATAGTTTATATCTGCCAATCCCAGACTCCAAATTTACCCCTCTCTCATTTGTGTGTTTTTTAATGGTTTCTAAGGTGTCAATACTTGCCCTCCCCTAGTTTTCTTGTTTTTTAATTGTGAAGTAAATTGTTCCTGCTAGAAATAATACTTAGGCTTCTGTCATATTTCACAAGCTGCTTTCGATCATGAATTCTCATACTGTAAACTATTTTCTTGTATATAGTTTTATAGGAAGGGAATATTTTTCTTTGTTGTAAGTTACCTGATAAAGTGGTGATAAGTGTTATTTTTCATAGGTCATTTAATGAACTTGAAGTATTATGCCTCTCCTTCTGACCTGCTGGATGATAAGACAACATCCCCTATCATTTTGCATGAGACTAATGGTAAGACTTTCACTATAAAGTAACTAAAGGTTTTGCTCAGTGTTTAAAAAATATTTAAAAAAATTTGAATGCCCAGGCCTGCCTGTGCTTTCTGGTTTGCTACTCCCAAGTAAATTTGCCATCTCTACCAAAGTTTTCCATTTCTGCCAGAGTTTGCTTCTGATACATACACACACATATCATGCATATATAAATATTGTACATATGCATTTGTTGTCGTCTCGTTGCTCAGTCATGCTCGACTCTTTTGCGACCCCATGGACTGTAGCCTGCCAGGCTCCTCATTCATAGGATATACATACGTAATAATAAAAGCATAGTTGGTCCTTTTGAATGAGTAAGTGAGTGAATGAGAAAATGTAAACGATCTGACTTGAAATAATTCGCTTTAATCATCACTTTAAAGGTAAAGAAGTTAACCAGCTTACTAAAGAACTAAAATAATGGATCTTACTTTGTATTTGCACTTTTTTTGGGTGCACCACATGGCTTGCTGGATCTTAGTTCTTTGACCAGAGATGGAACCCCATGCCCTTGGGAGTGAAGGCACAGGGTTGTAATCACGGACTGCCAGGGAATTCCTGTATTTGCACTTTAATAGTCTAAAACCTAATGAAAAATGGCCTAATGCCTCATTTTGCTCCCCTTTTAACTTCAATCATTGACTGTCTATGGTCATAATTCTATTTAAATGCATTCTGAAGTTGGAGAAAATAATATTGGTAATCAGTCTTTAAAATTTCTTAGACTTCATTGTTTCCTATATTTTGTATTATTTACTAACAGAATTATTGGTTTGTTAGAAAGGTACTTCTAGCATTTCTAAGTTATATAGGTTTCAGTTCAGTCGCTCAGTTGTGTCCGACTCTTTGCGACCCCATGAATCGCAGCACACCAGGCCTCCCTGGCCATCAGCAACTCCCAGAGCTTACTCAAACTCATGTCCTTCTAGTCAGTGATGCCATCTAGCCATCTCATCCTCTGTCGTCCCCTTCTCCTGCCCCCAATCCCTCCCAGCATCAGGGTCTTTCCACTGAATCAACTCTTCGCATGAAGTGGCCAAAGTATTGGAGTTTCAGCTTCAGCATCAGTCCTTCCAGTGAACACCCAGGACTGATCTCCTTTAGGATGGACTGGTTGCATCTCCTTGCAGTCCAAGGGATTCTCAAGAGTCTTCTCTAACACCACAGTTCAAAAACATCAGTTTTTCAGCACTCAGCTTTCTTCACAGTCCAACTCTCACATCCATACATGACCACTGGAAAAACCATAGCCTTGACTAGACGGACCTTTGTTGGCAAAGTATGTAGGTATAGAATCTGATAATTAGGGCTGACAAATTACACAGAAGCTAGCTTTTTTTTTTAATGTTAAGATCCTTATAATTTGTGTTATTCTGGAGAATACCATTTTTTTTTCTTTTTCCCAGTTCCTCGATCTTTGGGCATGAATGCATCAGTGACAATTGAAGGAACGTCTGCTATGTATAAACTCCCAATTGCACCATTAATTATGGGATCACATCCAGTTGACAACAAATGGTAAGCGAAATATAATTCTAGGATAGCAAAGTCCTTTTTTTTTCCAACTTTAAGTCCAGTAAGAAACAAGTATTACTTTGACTTGGTTCTTCCCACACTTGACTTTCTAGAGGTGGGCTTTTTTGTTTTATCCATTTGATTTCTCTTTTCAGTATTTGCATGCTCCTCTTTGAAGTCTGCTCATAGAACACAGTTTTATCGTGAGAGAGAAAGAAGAGAACTGTGCTACTTCCACTGGCTTAGTGGTTTAGTGATTGCCCTATGGGATTTTCTTATGGGACTTTATGTTGATCGGAGCTATATTGGAGTAATATTAATAACTAGAGAATATATTTCAGGATAGATGTTCAATAAGATACTTTAGGGTTAACAAATAGGATATTTTGGAATTGGGGGAAGGAAGTTCAAAGAGTGAAGTTTGATAGCCTTTGTATGTGTTTATATGATACAAACGTGTCTGAGTGTTGAGATTTTTCATTTTTACATCAATTCAGAATCCCAATCCTCCACTTTTTCTTTTTTTGAAGGACTCCCTCCTTCTCCTCAGTTACCAGTGCCAACAGTGTTGATCTTCCTGCTTGTTTCTTCTTGAAATTTCCCCAGCCACTTCCAGTATCTAGAGCATTTGTTCAGAAAATTCAGAACTGCACAGGTGAGTTTTAAGAAGCATCAGAAGCTAATAATTGTTATAAAAGTGAAAGCAAACTTCAAATTCACATTATCTTAGCCCTCTTTCAGTCTTGACCTCAAAAAACTAGTGATAGGTATAGATATCATGGTGTTTTGAACTAGTCAATGCTTATTAGTAAGTACTTTTTGAATAAATGGGTAAATGAAGGGAAAACTGAGCTGTCAGCATTTTCATCTTACTGTGATTATATTGATCTTTGCTGTTCCAGGAATTCCATTGTTTGAAACTCAGCCAACTTATGTACCCCTCTATGAACTGATCACTCAATTTGAACTGTCAAAGGATCCTGACCCCTTACCTTTGAATCACAACATGCGATTTTATGCTGTAAGTAAGGCCTTATGAATTGTTGTAGATTATGCTTGGACCCAAGATCAGAATCTTCCTTTTATAGGATACCTGAGATCAGAAGACATTCTTTTGGCTTACCGGATCATGTCCTATTTTCTGTCAGGCAGGAAATTACAGATATCTTTGAAATGTACTGAAAAAGAACATAACTTCCAAGTCAGGAAACAATGTACGTTGAATTGTTGAAATTTCAAATGAAAGTCTCTTAATGGTATTCTAAACTTTATAAGCTTATAAGTAGGTATTAAGAATTCTTGCTGTTTAATCCTTTCAAGTGCTGTGAACTTCTGATCTACAGAGTACTTACAGAGAAGAAAGTACTGGAATGAGTGAATTAAGGATGGTTTTTAAACCACATCTGAACTTGAATTCATTTGAATGTTTGACAGTAGTCTAACAGTTCCTCAATTCTGGCTCCATTATAACTGTATAGGGTGTTATTAAAAATAAAAATTTTGCACTTACTGTTCAGGGACCCCTTTTATACAGATTTCTGAGGTAATTTTTATGTTAGCTAGGTTAGTAAACCACTGGCAGAACTTTACAAAAAAGGGGTCTTTTCAGCCAAGTGAGTAATTGGTGTTTAACGTTAGCTGACCAGTAATTCACTGTGGAGCTTTATTGTCCAGCAAGAAATTGCTGATTTTTGAGGAGCAGGGTGTTTTTTGTTTTTTTTTTTTTCAGAATAGTTTGTGGTTGGAGTACAGTGCCTGAGTAAATAGCATTCATTCCCTTGTTCTTTTCGCCAGGCTCTTCCAGGTCAACAGCACTGCTATTTCCTCAACAAGGATGCTCCTCTTCCAGATGGTAGAAGTCTACAGGGAACCCTTGTTAGCAAAATCACCTTTCAGCACCCTGGCCGGGTTCCTCTTATCCTGAATCTGATCAGACACCAAGTGGCCTATAACACCCTAATTGGAAGCTGTGTCAAAAGAACTATTCTGAAGGAAGGTACTGCCTTTCTTTTGCTATATTTACCGGTAAATGGTACTGATTACTCTAGTAGTTCTCTAATTTGGTGGCTCATCATATCACCTGTGGAGCTTCTAAAACTACAAATATTTGGTTTCCATACCAAATAAACTTAATTAGAATCTCTGGGAGGAGTTGGGAATCTAGTTTAAGCTCTGTGGATAATTTTGATGGAAGCAATCTGTATACTGGCATATGGAAACCACTGAGTTTTTTTGCAGTGGACTTATTTTTTTTCTTCATGCAGTGGTGTAATTGGGTACCTAGGGGCCTGAATCTTGCAGCAGATAGATAAGGTATAATTTGAGATTTTGTAGGAAGAGAGTTCTTGACACCTAAATTTTAGGTTGTTAGGCAGTGCTTTTCATGTTTTAATCCTGAGTATATTTTCTCCACCTTCTTTGGAGAATTTAATCATATAGCTTAAAAAGAGATGAAACCTGTGCCCTTTTCTTTCTCTCCCAGGATTCTGGAATGCTGATGTTTTTCACACAGTTTTCTCTTAGAAATCTTGATATGAATTTTGGCTGCTCTAGTTAATCATAGTTAATTTTTTACATTAGTTGTAAACATTTCAGTGATAGAACTGTGCCAAATGGTAGGCAAGAAGAAGCCCAGAAGGTAAATCAGGATATATATTTTATGGGAATAAGAATTGTTCCAGAAATGAGAAATTTTAGAAAGCTGAAGTAATGACACAGAACATATGCAGGTATCCTTATGACCCTTCTGTTTCATGTATCTCAATCCTAGGAGATTATCCACATAGCTTTAGAGCATTTAAAAATGAGTTTTTGTGAGATAGTTACGAAGTTAGTCCTACAGAGATGCATACTTTTTCCCAAGAAAGTACATAATTCTTGTCTCTAGGCTTTCGGCATGTTTGGCTTAGAAACCAATGATGATAGTTATATGTAAGTGTATTTGGCATAAATATATCATTTTAGATTGTATTCCCTACATCCATGTTTACCAAACTATAGAATGTGTAGCTAACAGCTGTATGCTAGTAGAAGGCAGGGTGTATGACAGTGATTCTGATGTCTGCTTATCAAATAGAATGAGAAACTCCTCTTGGCCACATTTATTTTCAGAATTGATTTTCAAGGCAGGATGTTTATATCTGCCAAGGACTTTATCAATTTAGGGATTAGATATCTTCATTTAAAAAAAATGAAGTTTAGTTACTTTGTTTTAGAGTATTTATAACATAAACTGGTGGATTCTTTGGAATCTGATTTCTTCAATCACCTGTGAGTGCCAGTGGGTTTCATGTTTTTAAAAAAATGTGTGGGATTTAGTTTCCAATGAGGGAGAGAAAATAATTAATGATTACTGTGTACGTATCTCAAGTCTTTTATCTGGTTGATTATTTTATGATCCTTTTCTTTGCCTTTTAGATTCTCCAGGGCTTCTCCAATTTGAAGTGTGTCCCCTCTCAGAGTCCCGTTTCAGCGTGTCTTTTCAGCACCCTGTGAATGACTCCCTGGTGTGTGGTGAGTTATGTGGGTGGCTAGCACCTTTCTCAGGATAGCAGTTCGGTCCTTTTATCTCTTTTTGCAAAGTCAGAAACTGAAGCCAAATCCATCCTAAACACCTCCTATATGTTTTGTTTTCCAGTGGTAATGGATGTGCAGGACTCAACACACGTGAGCTGTAAACTCTACAAGGGGCTGTCAGATGCACTCATCTGCACAGATGACTTCATTGCCAAAGTTGTTCAAAGGTAGCACTGGCCCTTTTTCATCAGAGTACCATTAAGAGATGTATAAATAATGCTGTTTTCAGTAATAAATGAATTAGAAATTTAGGAGGAAGGCATTTAGTCACTGCTTTGAATTCACACTTCTCTGCTTTTGGATCTAAAAGCAATATGAGTTTTTGATTTTATAAATCTCATAAAGAGTAATAGGAAGTAAAGTAGGTAACTTCAGACCCAGTGTTAGGGCTCTTTTATGAGGGAGAAGGTTGAAAAAAGATGTAGATCTTTTTTTCACTTTTCTTCTGTGTCATTTTTGTAAAAAACACATGTAACATGTCAAACAGCAGTATGTGGGAAGATACTTTAGCCATTCAGCTTCCTGGAAGCATTAATATGTAATTTCAAGATTTTTTAGAGTAGGTACAAGTGGTCTGTTTAGTAAATAAAAATAAATTTTATTGAAACATAATAAGACATGCCTGTACATGAACACATGCCTGTTCCTTTACATATTGTCTATGGTAGCTTTTGAGCTAAGATGGCAGAGTAGTTGGACAGAAACCATATGATCTTCAAAAGTCAATATATTACTGTCTGGTCTTTAAGAAAGGTTGTTGACATAGTCTAGAGCAAAATGTTTTCAAACATGTTTATAAACATGAATTTATCTGTAACATAAAAAGTGCTTTGCTTTAAAATAAAAAGGATTTCCTGCCAGTGGTAGTACTTTTCATAGTATAGCTTTGGAATGATTTAAGCTATTAAAGTATAGAATTTGATGGGTCAAGAGATTTTTCTAGTGGTTCATCAATTAAGATAAATTGTATATATTGTTACACCATTAATCATATGTGAAGTCCCCAAAGGAGGGCATTTTCTTACTGAGGTCATTATTACCAGTTTTATTTTAGTTCAGTATGGTATCTAATTATTTGGACTTTTGCTTATGATTGGTTCGTTTTTGGTGGCATGTCAAAGGAGGTTGATGATTGCCTCCTGGTCCAGATTTTTTTTTTTGGTTGCCTTGTGTGGCTTGCAGGATATCAGTTCCCCATCCAAGGATTGAACTTGGGCCCTCAGCAGTGAAAGCTTGGAGTCCTAACCACTAGACCACCAGGGAATTCCTTCCAGATTCTTTTTATTTATTTATTTATTCATTCATTCATATAAAATATTTATTTGGCTGTGCCAGCTCTTAGTTGTGGCACGTGGATCTTTTGTTGTGGCATGTGGGATCTAGTTCCTTACCAGGGATCAAAACTAGGCACCCTGCATTGGGAGTATGAAGTCTTAGCCACTGGACCATCAGGGAAGTCTTCCTCCAGATTCTTTTTAGAATGGGTATACCCAAAGCTCTGGCATTTTAAAGAACTGCTCCTGCCTTACAAGTTATTTGCCTTACCGGAAAACTGTTTATTGCAAACCTTTATTTAAGGCAAAATTAAAGCCTTTATCTCAAATGAAAAATTGTTTTAAGTAGCACCTAGTGCATTGTTCATTTTGTTTTTTCCATCTTATTTTACAGGTGTATGTCGATTCCTGTGACGATGAGGGCTATTCGGAGGAAAGCTGAAACCATTCAGGCCGACACTCCAGCACTGTCCCTCATTGCAGAGACAGTTGAAGACATGGTGAAAAAGAACCTGCCCCCGGCTAGCAGCCCAGGGTATGGCATGACCACAGGCAACAACCCAATGAGTGGTACCACTACACCAACCAACACCTTTCCGGGGGGTCCCATTACCACCTTGTTTAATATGAGCATGAGCATCAAAGATCGGCATGAGTCGGTGGGCCATGGGGAGGACTTCAGCAAGGTATCTCAGAACCCAATTCTTACCAGTTTGTTGCAAATCACAGGGAACGGGGGGTCTACCATTGGCTCGAGTCCGACCCCTCCTCATCACACGCCGCCACCTGTCTCTTCGATGGCCGGCAACACCAAGAACCACCCGATGCTCATGAACCTTCTTAAAGATAATCCTGCCCAGGATTTCTCAACCCTTTATGGAAGCAGCCCTTTAGAAAGGCAGAACTCCTCTTCCGGCTCACCCCGGATGGAAATGTGCTCGGGAAGCAACAAGACAAAGAAGAAGAAGTCATCAAGATTACCACCTGACAAACCAAAGCACCAGACTGAAGATGACTTTCAGAGGGAGCTATTTTCAATGGATGTTGACTCACAAAACCCTATCTTTGATGTCAACATGACAGCTGACACGCTGGATACGCCACACATCACTCCAGCTCCAAGCCAGTGTAGTACTCCCCCAACAACTTACCCGCAACCAGTACCTCACCCCCAACCCAGTATTCAAAGGATGGTCCGACTATCCAGTTCAGACAGCATTGGCCCAGATGTAACTGATATCCTTTCAGACATTGCAGAAGAAGCTTCTAAGCTTCCCAGCACTAGTGACGATTGTCCACCCATTGGCACCCCTGTTCGAGATTCTTCAAGCTCTGGGCATTCTCAGAGTGCCCTCTTTGACCCTGATGTCTTTCAAGCCAATAATAATGAAAATCCATACACTGATCCAGCTGACCTTATTGCAGATGCTGCTGGCAGCCCCAGTAGTGACTCACCTACCAATCATTTTTTTCCTGATGGCGTAGATTTCAATCCTGATTTGTTGAACAGCCAGAGCCAAAGTGGTTTTGGAGAAGAGTATTTTGATGAAAGCAGCCAAAGTGGAGATAATGATGATTTCAAAGGATTTGCATCTCAGGCACTAAATACTTTGGGGGTGCCAATGCTTGGAGGTGATAATGGGGAGACTAAGTTTAAAGGCAATAGCCAAGCTGACACGGTTGATTTCAGTATTATAGCAGTGGCTGGTAAGGCTTTGGGTCCTACAGATCTTATGGAGCATCACAGTGGTAGCCAGAGTCCTTTATTGACTACTGGAGACTTAGGGAAAGAAAAGACTCAAAAGAGAGTCAAGGAAGGCAATGGTGCCAGTAATAGTAGTCTGTCAGGGACAGGATTAGACAGCAAACCAGGGAAGCGCAGTCGAACCCCTTCTAATGATGGCAAAAGCAAAGATAAGCCTCCAAAGCGGAAGAAGGCAGACACTGAGGGAAAGTCTCCATCTCACAGTTCTTCTAACCGACCTTTCACCCCACCTACTAGTACAGGTGGATCCAAATCTCCAGGCAGTTCAGGAAGATCTCAGACTCCCCCAGGTGTTGCCACACCACCCATTCCCAAAATTACTATTCAGATTCCTAAGGGAACTGTGATGGTGGGAAAGCCTTCTTCTCACAGTCAGTATACCAGCAGTGGTTCTGTGTCTTCCTCAGGAAGTAAAAGCCACCATAGCCATTCTTCCTCATCTTCTGCTTCCAACTCAGGCAAGATGAAAAGCAGTAAATCAGAAGGTTCATCAAGTTCTAAGTTAAGTAGCAGTATATATTCTAGCCAAGGGTCTTCTGGATCTAGCCAATCCAAAAATTCATCCCAGTCTGGGGGAAAGCCAGGCTCCTCTCCTATTACCAAGCATGGACTGAGCAGTGGCTCCAGCAGCACCAAGATGAAACCTCAAGGGAAGCCATCATCACTTATGAATCCTTCTTTAAGTAAACCAAACATATCCCCTTCCCATTCAAGGCCACCTGGAGGCTCTGATAAGCTTGCCTCTCCAATGAAGCCTGTTCCTGGGACTCCCCCATCCTCTAAAGCCAAGTCCCCTATCAGTTCAGGTTCTGGTGGTTCTCACATGTCTGGAACTAGTTCAGGCACCGGCATGAAGTCATCTTCAGGGTTAGGATCCTCAGGCTCGTTGTCTCAGAAAACTCCCCCATCATCTAACTCTTGTACAGCATCTTCCTCTTCCTTCTCCTCAAGTGGCTCTTCCATGTCCTCCTCTCAGAACCAGCATGGGAGTTCCAAAGGGAAATCTCCCAGCAGAAATAAGAAGCCGTCTTTAACAGCTGTCATAGATAAACTGAAGCATGGGGTTGTCACCAGTGGCCCTGGGGGTGAAGACCCAATGGACGGCCAAATGGGGGTGAGCACAAATTCTAGCCATCCTGTGTCCTCCAAACATAACATGTCTGGAGGAGAGTTCCAGGGCAAGCGTGAGAAAAGTGATAAAGACAAATCAAAGGTTTCCACCTCGGGGGGCTCAGTGGATTCATCTAAGAAGACCTCAGAGTCTAAAAATGTGGGGAGCACAGGTGTGGCAAAAATTATCATCAGCAAGCATGATGGGGGATCCCCCAGCATTAAAGCCAAAGTGACTTTGCAGAAACCTGGGGAAAGTGGTGGAGAAGGGCTCAGGCCTCAGATGGCCTCTTCCAAAAACTATGGCTCTCCACTCATCAGTGGTTCCACTCCAAAGCATGAGCGTGGCTCTCCCAGCCATAGTAAGTCACCAGCATATACCCCCCAGAATCTGGACAGTGAAAGTGAGTCAGGCTCCTCCATAGCAGAGAAATCTTATCAGAACAGTCCTAGCTCAGACGATGGCATCCGACCTCTTCCAGAATACAGCACAGAGAAGCATAAGAAGCACAAAAAAGAAAAGAAGAAAGTAAAAGACAAAGATAGGGACCGGGACAAAGACCGAGACAAGAAAAAATCTCATAGCATCAAGCCAGAGAGTTGGTCTAAATCACCCATCTCTTCAGACCAGTCCTTGTCTATGACAAGTAACACAATCTTATCTACAGACAGGCCCTCAAGGCTCAGCCCTGACTTTATGATTGGGGAGGAAGATGACGATCTTATGGATGTGGCCCTGATTGGCAACTAGGAACCTTACTTTTTAAAGCAAAAATATGGCCAGAGAAGAACTAAGTGTATAGGCAAATCACCATAAGGAGTGAGTCAGGTCTGATTTTGTGTTTAAGAATCTTAAACGGCATGGCTTTGACACCAAGTGGGATGAATTTTGAAAGGCATAGTCAGACCCTACTAAAGAGACCATAGGGTTTGATTCTGGTTACTGCAAATCAGTTGTTCCTTTGCCAGGAAAAAAAAGTTTTAAAATATTTGCTTATGAAAGGGAGGGGGTGGGAAGGGCTTAGGGAGAGGGAAGGGTGGGAAACAGTTTTGTGGGAAATATTCATATATATTTTTTCTCCCTTTTTCCATTTTTATGCCATGTTTTAAACTCATTTTAGTGCATGTATTTGAAGGGCTGGGCAGAAAATGAAAAAGCAATACATTCCTTGATGCATTTGCATGAAGGTTGTTCACCTTTGGGTAGTTGTCCATTTGAGGCAGGGGCAAATGAAGGACTTGGGTCATTTTGGACACTTAAGTAATGTTTGGTGTCTGTTTCTTAGAGGAGTGTTTGGGGAGGGAAGATGATTTTAGCTATTTATTTGTAATATTTTAACCCTTTATCTGTTTGCTTTTATACAGTGTTTTTTCTAATTCTATGAGGTTCAGGGTTCATAATGATGGGAGGCAAGAAGGAGGCTTATTTGGTGGTAGGGAGCTTGTGGCTTATGCTGGTAATGTAGTATCAAGCTGAAGCAGATCAGTCAGAGCCCACCTTTGGAGTCAAGTAGAAAACCAAAATGGTGTTTTTGTTGTAGGAGGTTTTTCATAGGGTTCAGACATCATAGGAATATTAGGAGTTATCGTTCTGTGGAGGTATTAATTTATAGTTTCTTTTTCCTTTAAAGAAAGCTTGGCTGGCTTTTTGGGATGTAAACGTTTTCAGATGCAGTAAAATTTAAAAGTGGGATAGCCTCCCTGACCCAGTGGCATGAAAACCATTACAGAATTCATAGTTCTCCTATTTCTACAATGTGCCAAAAGTCCACATCCCAGCATTTTGTTTGTAGGAGAACTGATGCCATTCCTGAGAACTGGGCTCCTTGTTTCCCTTCATCACAAGGATAAGGAGTCCAGACTTTAATCACTCCACTGTATGCTCCCTTAGATAAAACAGTAAAAAATTTGCAGCCATAGTTCACTTAAAACAGTTTTCAAGCTCACTTGAAGTAATGGGGGCCTGGAATGCTAGGTGGGCATGAAGATAAACCCTTGCTACTATGTAGCAACACAATTGGACCTTTTTGGAAGAACAGGTCTGAGTCTGGATTCTGGGGGACATCAATAAGAAGCCCTTCTCATACATATAGAAATCCAGGAGACCATTTGAGTGCAACACAAGTTCTCAGTATTTGGAGGGTCCTCTCAAAATTCTGCGGCCTTACTTTGATTTTGACACCTGCACTGTGCCATTCCTGATGATTCCATTCAGGATCTGTATCAGCAGGATGGGGCACGATCCCCAGCACAACTCTTCTGGATTAAAAAAAAAAAAAAAAAGCCAGGTGATTCATTTGTGTGTGTGTGTGTGTGTGTCATAAATGGAGTGACTTCATCAGATGCTGAAGAAGATTTCTATATTCAGCTCTTTCTGCAGGTTGGAGTTAGCATAGAGTTGGAAAATCAGCTTTGGCTTTCTTTCCTGACTGTCTCTGATTTCCTTTAGTGTTCTCCCTTTTCTGGTCATCAGCTCTCAACAACTCTGCCACTTTTGTGTCCCAAGGTAATAAGAAGTAGGAAACGAAACATTGCAAAGTGGAGCAAGAAAAGTTATCGGTTACCGTATCAGAGTCAAATGTCTTGGGTGACACTAAGGAGGACATGGGCAAGGTGATACCAGAGTGCTTTATCTTGTGATGCTGATACAGTAGCAGCCTCTCAGACATACAACCAGGTTGGATTTCTCACAAGTTTCTCACCTAGTTTTGAATCCTATCCCATTGGTTTCTGCAGGAAAAAAAAAAAAGTTAAAATGGTTTTTAAGTTTGAGTGGGGAGAGTATGGGGAATGTACTGCATAATATCAGGGGCTCAGCTCCCCCAAGTAGAGCCAACAAATACCAAAATGAGTAAACTGGGAAGCTTTTTCTCTCTTTCTGTCTTCATCCCAGATCAAAGAATTCCGAGTTAGGATCTGGATGAAGGATAAGCCCCTGAATTGTCGATGGGCACACCCCACACACTGACCCAGCATCTGAACTTGCTTAACAGGGAGCCGGGGCTAAACTGCTTCACCCTGCCTGAGAACCAGGGAGCACTGCATTTCTCCACAGGGTGGAGGAGAAGAGGCAGAATAAACCAAGCCTGGGACACCTCCCTCCTGTCTAGGTGTACTCATTCTTCTGTTTCAAAAGACGACAAGGACATGAAGTCAACTTCTACCTATCTTCTGCTGCTGGTGTCTTATGTATTCTTAGTTTGACCTGATTCCTCTTCTGTCTTTTGGCTTCATGTTAGGGGTTCTTGGTCAAAACCTGCTCTGATGTACATGAAGATTCCAGATTCAAAAAATCAGCTTCTTTTAAAATAAGTACGGGGGGAGGCGTGAAATGAAACAGGATATAATTGCCAAAACTAGGCTTGAGGTTGGTGGCTCTTGGAAGGATTTTCCTTAAGGCCTAGGTCTGAAAATACAGGGCAGCACTATCATGAATTCTGAAAAGAAACCTTCCAGGGAGCCAGTGAGTCATAGTATCCAGTCGAGTCACTTAAAGCAGATTCCATTATAGGAAACTCATTCACAATCCCTTGGCAGTCTCATTTTTTTTAACGTTTTATCCATAAGTCTCCCTCCCTCTTTATTTCTACCCTTAAGTTTTTTTGAGGGGTAGGCAGTACCTAACATCTTAGAAGCTAGGTTGGGAAACATGCTCAGTTGTAGAAACTGAGCTTTAAATTTTGCGTTTTAAAAATGTACATCAGGAGCAGTTGGGGAGGGTCTTTTCTAAAAAAAAACTCAAATTTGATTTTCTGTGCATATGGCCGTTCTGTAAATACTTTGGGGTTTTTCATTTTTTTGAAAGTAGACAAAAATCTGTGGGATTTTTTTCCCAAAACATTACGAAAATGTGTTTATTTACATGCAAATAAATTTCTTTGATAAAAAGCATCATGTGTATGTGTAATAAATTTTTAACTTTTGAATACTTTTATTCAGCTTTTTAAAAATCCAATCAAAATAATTTTAACAAAGTAAAAATGTCTCCTGAGTAGTACTTGATAATGGGTTAACTGGAAAGGATAATTGAAATTAGAGAAAAACCTGTGGAAGTTTTCATCTGCTTTATTTTGCTCAAGCCACTTGTACTATCTTTTGCAGGCCTCTGTCACCAAATTCATCAGTAGTTCTTGCTGGGAGAAAACTGCTCTGAGATGAGATGCAACTAAAAGGTTGTTTCTATTTGACTGAGGTGAAGCAGGAACATTAACAGTGTCTGGAACAGGAGGAGGCTGTAACATCTAGACCCGGGTGTGTGGGCCTGAGAATAAGTTTCTGAAGCTGGCTTCCTTTCTTAGGAAGTCCTAAGGTTTTTTGTTTTTTTTTTAAGTAATTTTAAAAAGTACTTGAAGGATAAGCCTTTCAGGTAAAATGTGCCCGTTTAAAAGATCTCTGCACTTGTTACTCTTTAAGTAAGTTCATCTCTTAAATCAGACATTCATAATAAGCCAATCACTGAAAAGTACAAATGAAAAATGCTAGGAAAACAAAATCATCTACTTTGGAATACAATTAGAAGTGGTCCAGCCAGGGCTGCTAGAATTGGTGATACAGTTTCTAATATTTTATCTTTGGGATATAATTCTGTGATTTTCCGCTCTAAAGGTAAACAAATTCCTTATTTCATAGAAATCAGATCATAAGTTTCGAGACCTGGAATTGCTAAAGTATACTATGACATACCATGACACAATCCAGCTTCTATTGAAAGAGAGAATGTTAACCATTGGGCAAGCTCCCCACCTCCCCGCCCCGCCCCGCCTACTCGTTCAGACACGCTTGTTTCTCCCGCCAAAGTGGCGTCAGGATCAGGCTCTCACCAACCAGAGCGCTGATTGGAGGGCGGGTAAGCGCTAGAGCCCATTGGGTGCCAGCGGCGGTCGGGCGGCAGAGGGGCGGGGGAAGTCAAGGCCCTTCTGTCTCACCCGCCCCCACCTCCACCAAAGCGCGCCCCTCCCCCAGCAAAAGAAATGGTCGCCCAGCTTCTGCACTGCACCCCCTGACCACAAGGCACGAGGTGCGGCCTCGCCGCTCGTCCTCAGAGCAGACGGCAGCGCAACTGTCCCCCCTGATTCATGCACAGGGAGATCCACGCCCCGCAGCGGCCCCCCAAGCCTCACTGCAACACCCGGTAATGCAATCCACGGAGGCGGGGGAGGCGGCAGCAGCGGCGGCAACAGCGGCAGCGGCGAAAGCAGCAGCAGCACTGCCCCAATCTAGAGACTACCAGAAAGGAGGAAAATGGCTCCGAGCAGGGACCGCCTGCTGCACTTTGGGTTCAAGGCGACAGTGAGTGATAGGGGAAGGGAAGCTGGGTGGCTGGGAAGGACATGTTTGCCAACACGGGCTACTGGGAAGCGACAACACTTAAGGGGCTGGGAGGACAAGACAGACAGCTCAAGTGCTTGGTGGGTTGGTGCGTGCTGCCTGTCGCGGAGGGGAGAGGAGGGGGCTCGGGTGCTGTGTGCAGTTGTCCTGCTTTCTTCTCTCTCACCGTGGGTCGGCGAGCACGCGCGCACTCGCACCCGCCCCACAGCCCCTCCCATAGACAAATACACACAGACATATAGGCACTTCCCTGCCTCTCCTCGCGGTGGGCTTGTCTGCCTTGGAGGCGAGAGCGGGCTCGCGCCGCCTCGCGCCGCCGCCACCGCCGCCGCGCTCCCGTAGTTCTTGGGCTGACGGCCGCGGGCTGTACCCGGGGGTGGGGGAGGGGTGGTCCTGCGCCGCTGCGCGCTCCTCCTCCTCCCCCTCCCCACGCTGTTCCGAGGCCCGGGCGGCTCTGCCCAATGAGGAGCGGCGTTGCTGGCAGGTGGGGAGTGTTTTTGTTTTGGGTTGAAGTTGAGGCTGAGAAGAGAGAAGAGCTAGCGACGAGCAGTCGTCGCCACTACCGCGGGAGGAGGAGGAGGCCCTGCTGGAGTCGAGAGGTCTCTCCTCCCCGCCGACGGCCCCATCCCGCTGCTCCTCTAACTCCTCTCGGTACCGGAACTCCGGGGCCTGCCCGGGGCCCCCAGTCTTTGCACGCCGCAGCACCCGGCCCCGGCCGCACCCGCCGGCCCCATGAGGAGGGACGTGAACGGAGTGACCAAGAGCAGGTTTGAGGTGTGCGCTTGGGGCAGGGGCGGGGGCGGGGCAGGGGGGGCGGGGGCTAGGGTCCCGTGAAAAAGACTATTTCCGCTCTCATGCCCCGGAAAATTCGCTCCGCACCGAATCTCCTCTCTCGCCTGGCGCCGTCACCCACTGGCCTCTGGGGCTGCCACACTTCTCTCCCGTTTCTCGCCACCCAAAAGCTTGGTGCAGCCCGGCTTCCCTTGTCCTCCCGGCTGGTCGCTTCCTGCGTCTTCCACTCTCGGGCCCTGGCCGGGGATTAGCTCTGGCGCCCTAATTCCCCCTCCCCCCAGTATCACTCAGCTTTCCATTCTTCACACAACCCTTGGCTTGCCTCCCTTCACCCGGCAGAAAAAGCATCACAGCTGCGATCGACCGGAGGGACCTCGTTTCTTTTCTTTCTGCCACTTTATTCTTGAAGCGAGGGGGAAATTATGGGCCCGGGACTTTTTCTCTTGAGTTTGAGACACTTTGGTTAAACTAGGGGAGTAGGGGTGGTAGACAGATGATAGAAACGTCCACGGGTTTTCGGTGCTGTGTGGTCTGGGTATTGTTCTAGTACTTCCTCTTCTTTCCCGTGTGGTCTGTACTTCTGTAGCTCATTGTTTCTGGGAACTCTTAGATGTGTACAGGCTTTGAGATTGGGACGAAGGTCTGAGAGACTTAAGAAAATCCTTTCAAGTCCCTTTGTGTCTGAGAACTTTTCCTCCGATGAGAGAGGTTTTAGTAGCGAAATTTTGGAGTGGATGAAGAAAGAAAACATCTGAAAGCATCTTTAGGGAGTAGGCAGTGTTGGGAAATGATTCTTTTGGGAAGTGAAGTATTGTTAACTACATGTGAATTACTGTAGTATAGTAATATATGGGGAGGTTTGTTGAGTGGACAAGAAAGAGAAAGAAACAACAGCAAGAAGAGTAAATGTTACCTGGCCTTTTTTGACAGAGAATCAGGCTGACCTGGAATCACCCACCTTCCGTGTACATCTCACTTGATGTTTTTCTTCATTTTTCATTTGGAGGATGAAATTATAAAACAGTGAGACAAAAGTTTCAGGAAACTTGCCAACTAAGCGTAGAGGATGAAATTGTTACCTAAGGGTCTTCAGTTTAATCTTTTCCTTGATTTCTTTTTATGCTTATGGAGAAAATATTTTAATTTACCCACAAAGGTCAAGACAGGAAGTGTTTGGGGAGAGTTTAAATTCAGAGCTGTAACGTTACTACAGCGCCAGGAGTGGAGAAAATCAAGGAATTGGTCTCTTTAGAGTTAGTCATGGGAAGATACTATTACAGTAGGTTATGTTTGTGTTTACTTTAATAGGACTTTATGTTGCCCTGATGTAGAGAGACCCAGAAAGCTTAATTTATGATGGTTTCATATTCAGTACTACTGTAAAAGTCCAGACTGTCGTTAGAATTACCAAATAGACATTTAACAGTTAACAGAACTCTTCAAAGGGAAACCCAAATACTGGAGAATTGAGTGGAGGATAGCCTTTCGCCATTGCAGTCAGCTCTTTATCATTTTGCTATTCACTTTTAGGTTATGTGAGTAATTGTTGGAAATTTGTAGTTTGTGCTTTTGTAGTTTGTGCTTTAAAATTGTATCACTATATCCTGTTTTTATACTTATGTTTTAATTTGTAGTTTATCTGTACTGGTGGTTCTAAAATAGTAAGAAAATGTATTGCTTTATTAAGCATATCTGTTTGTGTTGATTGGTATTAACTGGGAACCAAAGTTTTCTGAAAATGTCTGAGAAGAACCATAAGAATGAGAGACGGAACACCCCTCCTTCTACAGTGTTTGTGATTAAAATGTTTATTTGTAAACAAAAAGCTACTCTTACTATGATGTGGAGTGTTAGTTTTTGTTGTTGTTCAGTCTCCAGGTCAGTATCTGACTCTTCAAGAGCCCATGGAAGGGTTCATGCTGGAATACAAATGAGAAGGGACCGCAAATGATACCTGTTAATGAGTTTCCTTATCTGAGTATTTTTAAATCATGTACCCCTTAATGACCTAATTTACAAGTAATAAAACAATCAACTTTGGTCTCTCATGAAATAATACACTTATTGCTAATTCATTGAAAACATTTTAAATGTTTACTTTCAATGGATAAAAGATGTAGATAAGAGAAGCAGGCTTCTCATATCTAAAAATTTACATCACATTTTTTAAATCCTCACAATCTCAGAAGGTTTTTAAAAGACTGATAATTTTATAATTGTAAGTAGGTAGCTTTGAGGATTTTTCTGAGTATAGGAAATTTCTATAGCAAATATGTAACAACTAATTTCAAGTTAGTTATGGTTAATACAACAAGTGAAAGATTCTTTTCTTTTGCTTGGCCACTTTTTGGCAGGGGATAACTAAAACTTTTTTGTTCAATTATTTAAAGTCTTTTTATAGGGAATATTCTTGTCTATTATGCTTTTGGATGTTGTAAGTGCCAGCCGCACACTTTAAATCTCACTCTCAGAACTGTAAAAAACAAAACAAAATATTTTTTTAAGTTAAATCAGGGGAGAAGAGTACCTATTAGGCAGCTATATAGCATCCTGTGAAATAGCCAAGTAGATGACTGTTGGATAAAAGGGTTTAAAAAAGACATGCAGATGTGAAAATTGTTTTTTGTTGTATCACTTTGGCATTAGATCTACGCAGTAATAACCCTTATAAGTTAAAATAATGTGTACTAAATTGTTTTAGTCTTTTAATTGAAACTCAAATACTTGTATGTTACTTGTAGTACACTTTGTTTTGTGGCAACTTTGGATAATTTCCTTTCAAATTTAAAACTGATTATTCAATGTGTCCTGTATGTCAGGTGCACTGAGATAGATGTTTTTACCTCTGTTACTTCTAATTTTCACAATTCTATTTTGAGGAAAGCTAGGGCCTGACAAGTATTCAAGTTGCACAGCTAGTACATTGGGAAGCCAAGATTCCAATCTGCATTTTTTTTTTTAACTCCACTCTATCATTCTGGTCTGTTTTTAGCATTACATAGTATAAAAGCTCATAAAATGTGAGAAAGAGCTTTTCTAAAGTTCTCTATCCAGCATGTTTTATTTTGCTTTTGCTATTGAGAGAATATAGCTGTCCTTCATTTTAAGTACTGTAACTAGTACTGTCTTAACATAGTGACCATTAATGACAGACACGTGTCAGGCTAGCCCTTGAATCCAAGTTTAGATTTTTTTCAGTTAAGCCTCTCCACTTTGTCGTACTTAGTTAGCTCCATTATAAGAATGTCGTACTATTGGAGGAAAATTCTATCTTATTTGGATTTATTAAAAAGTATAACCTAAGAAAAATATATTAGTAACATTCACTGACATTCTCATACTATTTTACAGTTAGTTTAATCAGTGCCTGGAGAAGTTAAGACTCACATAGTTAGGAAGTGATAAGTTCCAGTTTGGGTATTTTGAAACACTGGGCATTATTCTTTTTTTTTTCATTATACATCACTGCTGCTCTGATATATCTATAATACTGAAGTTTGTTTGATTAGGTTGTAATATTTCTTTACCTGCTTCATTTTGTCCAAAATAAGAAAAATCATAGACTGTTTTGTGTCAGAAAGAACTTAACTGTGTTGGGAGTTAACACTTGATTTAGTTAATCTTGATTTTTTTTAGTTAATCTTGATTTTTGTCAACCAACTGACTATAGCTTTGGTCATCTCTTTTCACTTCTCTGGTTTGGTCATTTACCTCCTCTGTAAGAAAAAGGAGTTAAAATCAATTATTAAGATTCATTTTATTCCAGATCCCGTGAATCTAATTTTTTATTAAAAGCTGACCTTGGTCGTTTCTTCTGAAATAGCCGCCCCAGTATTTGTTAAAGTTTGTAGGCTCAGTCACACCGTTTAGTTAAAACTGCAGTAGTGACCCTTTTTTCCCTTAAGGTTTTATCTTCTAATCTAAAGAACATTCTGCGTAGTAAATAACCGTATTTTCCAAGTTGGTACATGTGGAAAATGTTATATATATTTTCCAGTGGGTGAGAGTCATTTGTTTCACTCTATTTGAAAGGACTTGCAATGGGGGGAGAACTAGTGAAAGTAAGGAATTTTGTTTTTAACACTTTAGAGATTGGTTTGAAAGCAGTTACCTATTACTGAACACTACTATATAAAATCAAAATTAGAAGTGTGCTTTTTTAGGCTCATTCAGACAATCTGTTCTTTTTTGAATAGTGTTATTGATGTTTCTTTATTTTACAATCATAGGTCCTTTTGAAGCACAGTACATTGTGTCATGTACTTATATTGTGTTCACTCATTACTTAAACATATGTTTGTATCTTGCTACAGTATACATAAGATAAACAGCTAGGTACTGGAAATTATGCTTAAGTCATTAAATTTTTTTAACTTGGCAGAAACTGTACAAAATGTATTGTTGATATTTAAGTCCTATGTTATAAGATGTAATCTATTTCTACATTGAAGATTTTCATTCGTTAAAGCAATATTTCTGTTAGAAGTATCCACACTTTTAAAGTCATGTCTTCATATTCTAGGCCATTTGTCAGTTTTTAGCTGTTGGTGTTGTTTTTTAATCTTAATTTAAAAAATCCTTCTATTTTCATCATCAGAGTTGTATCTTTTCAAATTTTGGTATCATTTTTCTTGCAGATTAATGAGTACTTTTTTTATTCCTAGCTCTTAGATTACTGTTTCTCAACTGGTGACAGATTGGAAACTAAATTAAAAATTTCAGTAATCTAACTAGTACTGTGGTTTTGCAAGGGTATTTTTAGATGTCCAAAATAAAATATTCCGTTACACTAGGAAAATCCAAGGGAGGGAGGAAGAAGAAAGAATGCCCTTAAACTGACCAAATTTAGCTGCTGTGCATAGTTGCTTTTACACTGTTTTCCTATTTAATATCCCAGAATTCATAAATTCTTAAATCAGACCCCTACCCAAAAATTGCCTCAGAAAAATGAAGGCATCCAACTGATTTGTTTTTTTTTTTTC